CCTCAACTACGCAATTATATCAAGTAGTTGATACTCTCATGGAACTCAAACCCAAACTGTTAGCATACATAAACGTGGTACCCGAGCACATAGTTATGCCAGAATATGGAAATCCTATCCCATTTTTTTATGTCGAAATGTGGCAATCCAATCCCAGTTAGTTATGCCGGAATGTAGAAATTCAATCCCAATTAGTTATGCCATAACAAGGCACAACATGACAAGTCGACACATCAACATACAACAATCACAAATACAAGTATACTCTCAAGTCATAGAATCAAGAAGTGATTTATACATATAATCATTCGCCTATCCCATTTGCAACAGGTGTGATCAATAGTGAAACGTTTATCTGCATACAAGTATCATAATGAAGCGAGAACAAACATACATCACACAATCATAGAATCACAACCATCACCTACAAGGGTTACTCGTCACGCATACATGCAAACCCTAACTCGACCATACTCAACCCTAATTCATCTCCTAAGGCTTCTTTCTAGGATTTGAATCATAATCATTCGGTGCACAAAGGCATACACATAATACTATCATCAATTTACATATATTACACAATGAGCACATATTTTAAACTACTCAATTCATAAAACCTAGCCTACCTGGGCGCCAAGCACTTGCACATAGTTTATGACTTTGTTTTCGGTCTTCCAGGCTCGCGATGGTGAATTTAGCCAATAATTGTCAAGATTTTTCCTTCCTCACGCTAGAAATCTCCTTCTTCTTCCTTCCCAAGCTTACAATAGTCTTTCTGAGGTTTCTAGGGTGTTTTTTACGACTTATTTAGGTATTTAAGGAAGATGTAGAAAATAAAATTTGTCGTATTTACGCTTAGCCTCGCCTATCCCGCCCTGACGCGAACTTACCCCATATTGGTGTCGTCGCTCTAGGGCATCTGACCCGCTATGGTGGGACAAGGGCCCAAATTTTTCTCTGATTTTGCTTCCCATAAATAACAACGGTTCGATCGTTACACTAGATATCAATTTACCCCTCGTTCGTCCATGAATGACTAGTGCATAGGACCTCACATACCACATTCAATTTACTTCAACATTAGAAAATGGGTCTATTGTGCAATCACGACAAATCGTGACTTTTTAATCAATTAACACGCTAAGAGGTACTATCCCCAAGACTATAAGGATCTTTGAGGCAACACACAAGGATCGAACATATTTAACTTTATAAAGTCTTCCACTAGGGACCTCCTGCTAAAGCGGGAGATCAGGAACCAGAATATATACATAGGGGAAAAATAAAATATTACCCAATTCCTTCCTATTCCCTCAACTTTCTCCCAAATCCTCTCAGCTCGATTTGTTTCGTACTCTCATTTCTTCATTTCTTGATTAACAACAATTGCATGATACTAATTAATTATTTTAGAAACATTTTTTGGGGTAGTTATTTTGAAATTGAACTAGGCTTCTAGATTGAATAATTTGTATTCTGATGTCCCCAATGATTTATGCAATATGATATTCCATAGCAAACATGAAGTTTTCTATAGAGCGCGAATATGAAAACTACAACTATAACATACAAATATGATTTTTATGCTTACTAAATGTGAAAGTTGCTCCTAATAATAATTAGTTAAGATAGTGTATATATGATAGTCATAGAAAATCTTCAAGTTGTTATGACTGGTTAGTGAGACCATATCAAACAATATCGATAAAGAGATACAGTATTACCAAAGTATATCATTAATGAAAGTAGTTGATCAGATAAATATGGCATGTATTGATTAATCACTATATTATATGTGCTAAATCACTATTGTCATTAATGGAAGCAGTTGAAAGATACATATAACACACATTAATCATCACTTTATAAATATAAGTACCAACATCAACAAGAAAATCACAAGCATAACAAGAAAGAAAAAGCCACTATTGTCATTAATGGAAGAAGTTGAAAGATACATATAACACACATTAATCATCACTTTATAAATATAAGTACCAACATCAACAAGAAAATAACAAGCATAACAAGAAAGAAAAAGTCTCACAATATGTCTTCCTCATCACAGTATTATCACTTATTTCTTTCCCTTTTTCTACTTAGTTTTTCATCATTGATCAATTCATCACAAGAAGATATTGTTGTTATAGTGAGTAATCTAACTACAAATACAGTGAAGGCAAAGTGTTCTCTAAAGGGATGAGTACCTACAGGGTACATTTTGTTGGAATCAAGACAGCTTTATAACCTCGTAATATCCTTTGAGCCTGAAGAAAATAATACCATTTCTTGTGAGATGAAATTACGCAAAAAAACACGGGGTTTTCAAGTTATTTAACTCAAATGACACAAAACTTGTCATGATAGAGATGAAGATTGTGAATAGAAAATACTTGAAGAGGGATTGTGCATTTTAGCATCAAACAATTGTGTTATGTTCAAATGGGATACAACTCATTACTCATCTAGAAAATTACTAGTGAACCAATTAAATATGTTACACGTAATGCAATGAAATATATGTTAAATAATTTTTAGTGAATATATCCATAAATAAGTAGCATTGTAATGCATATGAGATTAATTCTATAATAATATGGTACTAACTCTTGTAATTTTACTCATCTTTCCAAGTAAATATTTGGTTGGAAATCTAATAAAAAATCACGCTACTCGTAGGGAATTTTTTAAAGCTTAAGGCGTTTTATAAATGACACTATGTTTTAAGGATATTTCACCCAATATACGTGTTTTCTCCAAAATCCAACAAAGTTTTCTAGTACAAAACTAGGAGCCAGAATCTAACTTAAATTAATATTTTAAAAACCCAACTTAAGAGAAAAGATAACCGGAATTATAAGATGAGATGTTTTGATATAATTTTTTGAATTATATATGTGTTAAACAAGTAGAATAATAAGTCTACTCCAAATTTCTTTATTTGGTTACATAATGTGATCTTAGATCGGTTTTCATGTTTATATAAATGGGTGTATAATTTATCAAGAAATTCTGTTGAAGATAAAGAAAACTGAAGACATGGAACATGTTGAACAATCTGGTTCGATCAATCTGTAAGACGGAGTTAGAGTTACTTTAAGATTAGGTCACTCATATCGACTAGGTTGTCACGCATTGTACTAGCTAGAGTCGTCTAGGACTAGATTACGATTAGGATATTATTACAATTGAGTAGGATTAGATTATTTATAATTTTTTTTTAATTTCTCAACTGGTGTCCGAAGTCCACATTGGAGCTTTAACTAAATTCGGATCACGCTCTGTAGGGCCCATTCGAGGGTGACACTCCAACAAAATTTTCTCCATACACATAGCTCTAACCCGATACCTCTTATTAAGGGTAAATCACTCCTACATGTGGACCACAAATCATGTCATGACCCAAAATCCTAAAAGTGAGTGGACCCTCCACCAAATTGTAACACATAGTAAGCTAGTGTTAGGCCGCCAAATATTTTTGAAAAATATTATTTGGATGAACTTTTCGGTGAAATATCACCATGTATTAGGCCATAAATTTGGGAAACATATTTCACTTTTTTTAAGAAATACTATTTATACTGATAGTTTTAAAAACTATCAAAACTAACCATAGGTTCTTACACACATGAAGCTGTGATGGTTCTTAAACAACACTAGATTATCTCACAACACCTTCAATAACATCAATTTCTATATTCCTTTTATCTATTTAAGCTAGTTTGAAACTCTATAATTATCTAATAAAATCTAAAAAGGTGTACATACTAAGAAGATAAATTGACATCATGATTTTAAGATAAATTAATCATGAGTTGAGTGTCTTCGAAATTGATTTTAGAACCTTGATGTTGGAGTTGATTAGTATATTGGCAAGATTTAATGCCAATAGAAGTTGAATAGTTTAGGAATGTTCAAGAATCAAATCAACTTCATGTATTTAAAGAGTAAATGATATTTTTTGGCCTCTTTTACCCTTTTAAAATCAATTTCATATTACGTAAAATAATTATTATATTATTATTTAGAATTTTGTAATATAATAAAATTTTAGTTACCAATTTATTTCCTTAATTGAACTTATATACTAAATCCTAATATTTAGGACTTTACCTAAATCAATTCAACATGACACAGTATGTAAATATAAACCAACCATCTGTTTTACCATAATAATATTTCTACCATTTTAGCTAGCGTACATCTCAGTTTTGTAATGGGAATCTCTAAAATCAATAAATAATAATAATAATAATAAATAAATTTAAAATGTACAATTTACCATTAGTACGCTTTAATTATTCCCCCCCCCCCCCCCCCACCCCCTTTTTTTTTTCTAGTTAGTAGTGCTGTGTCTTTCTATGCACTAGTGCTGTATCGAAAATATTTTAAAGTTATGTCCGATGAATAAAATATCCTTTGTTTACATTTTGGTTCAGTAATTTCTTGTCTGTCAAATATTTTGATTCATAAATACTTTTTTACTAATAATTTGTTCTTAAATGATTTTTTATGAATATATATATTGTTGACACTCAATTTTTGACCCACATCGATATAAATTAATCATCGAGCTTTATGAGTTTTTCAAATTATTTAAGTTAATTAGTTTTATAAATCTTGCGAAAATTTAAAAAAAAAGTATATATATATACATATATATATGCATATATCTATATATATATGCATATATATATGTATATATAAGTAAAAAATATATATAATATACGGATCTTATGCTACTTATCATAACGTTAGATAAGTATATATATATATATTACGTAATTGTATATATAGTTTGTATATTTAATGATTAATATACATATATATATATATATATATATATATATATATATATATATATATATATATATATATATATGTATATGTATATGTATATATGTATATCTTAAGTTTAGAAAGTATTCTATCAAACTAGTTACTTTAAATAAAGCTCGTTAATAAATTTATACCAAATTCGTTTTTAAATCAATCGGCTATTATTCAAATTGAACTCTTTTTCCATTTAATTTGGAAGAGCCAGGTTTGGGCCTCTATCCAATATTCAGACAGCCCAACACCTAGACCCAATACGAATTAATGTCCAGGCCCAAACGTTTTCTGTAACAGCCCACTCTATTTTAAACAACCATCCAATCTTCCGACCCATTACCAATTAACCCCAGGCGGCCCATCCTCCTCAACCCAACTCACTAAAACCCATAACCCAAACCAACTCACTAAAACCCATAACCCGACCCAACACTTGACTCAAAAAACCCGGCCCCATCCTTTCTTCTTCCCCCTTCCCCTACGCCATTCCCAGAAGAGCAAAACAACGCAAAAAAAAAACGCAGACGGAGCAGACTCCGAAAATGGAAAATCTCTCCCACACTCTCGCGTCTACCTCACGCCCAGACTCCCCCTCTCTCACCCCTCTTTCGCGTCTCCCTCACGCGTACGCTCCCCTGTCCCTCGCCAACGCACCTCGCAGTAGCCCAAGTTTGACCGTTTAGCTTTTCCAGACGCGATTCTGTCCTCGCAGCTCTAGATCGAGACACGTAGCCGCCCAAGGACACTTCTCCCCACCCCGATCGTCCGCTCGACCCTTTCTCTTTCGGAATGGGGCGAATTTTTCAGAAAAAGGGGTCTGACCCAAAGAGAAAGGGATTCAAATTTCGAATTCAAAGGGGCCTCAAGTCACGTTCCCGCCCTCCCTCTTCCAAAATCCTAATATCCCCTATATAAACCCCTTCCGTCCTCAAGAAAAGGGGTTATAGATTTTTATCAAAAATTTCAGAGAGGTAGAACTTGGGTTTGGAATTTCGGACGAATATTTTAGTTGAAAATCGTTAGCAAACTTGGAGAGTTCTATCACGAAGATTGGAGACGAAGTTTGAGAGAGCTCTCCGTTTCCCTTTCCGTTTGTGTTAAAGAGATTCGCAGACGACAATAGATTCCGCCTGGCTTTCGTTTTCTTTTCCATCTTGTTTCGCTGTTTGGGTCGTTATTGAACCGTCTCTCGAATCCTCGCGTTGTGGTGGAGTTCGCTGCTGTCGCCTGCTGCTCACCGTCCCAGTTTGCTGCTTCCGAACAGGTAATATTCCCCCGTCTCTCATTATCTTCTCGTCTCTTCTATTTCGAAATGTTTCTTCATCGCTTCGTGCTTTGAATGCTGCTGGTTGTCGATGTATCGTTCGTTTGTTTTGTGCCGAGTTCTAATTTGTCGGCATTCAAAACGTTAAGTATATGGCTTGCGTAGCTTTACAATATGTTTTGGTTTGGCTGTTAATCTTCATTTCCATCGAAATAGCATGTCGACTTTATATGCCTATAAAAATCTTGTTGATGTTGCTTTGGTCGGTGTGTTTTTCTTGAGTCTGCGAATTCGTGTTCCCTCGCTGGCTCTTTATGCCGTTTCTGTCAAACAGCATGCCTTCCTCGGTTATTAGTCTAAGGTTATTTGAGACTTGTACGTGCGAACATTAGGTGGGTTGTTCATGGGCATTGCTATTTTATGTCTAATACATGTTTGCATACACGAACCTGCGTTGTCGTTTTCCTCTCGACATCCTAGTTCTCACCTCATCATCTCATATAGATGAATGAGCCGAGATGCTGACATGGAGTTCGTGTTGAGTTTTTCAGTTGTATGAATGTCATACAGTCATTGATTTTTCTGTTCGACATTACCATTGTTATGTATGTAAGTTCAAACCTTTCAAAATTTATTGAAGGACTCTCATGGTGTAGTTGTGTATTGTCTTCCTTAGTCTACCTTAGTTTTCTTCATTTTGGAACTTTGTCATTCCCTTGAATTCAAATGATTTTACTAAGTTACTGTACATGTTTCATTTTGTCAAAGTTTTGATAAAGAGTTGCCTCCATTTGCCTGTGAGTGACTCAAATAAAATTTGTTATTATTATTTATCTTATGTATGCAAGTTTGTTTCGTGGAAGCTATAGCATATAGTATAGATCCAATCCGGTGCTATTCATGAGTCAGATAGAGAAAATATGACAAGTGCCGCTCATCTTCTCGTTTTTCCGCTAAAATTCAATTTGGTGTTGGACTGCCACATACCGTTTCAATCGGACAATTATTTTTCTTTTGGGAGTTTTGTATGGTTGATATTGTGTACCGGCTTGTCTTACATTCCTTCTTTGCAATTATGTACTTAATTTACGTTCGTTTTGAATGGTCAATTGCATAAAAACGTGTCTTTCTTTTGTATTTATTTTAGTTATTTGGTTAAGGTGCTAATTCTCATTTCACTTGTTTTGTGGCATGTGAAAACTCCTTTGAGTCCGTTCGGGATTCCCTTCCCTCCTTGCATTTCGAGAAGAGTCGTAAAGACTCGCACTTTTCCTTCATCAAGTCAATTATCGAGTCAGATATGCCAAATCCATTTCCTTGAAGATTGAGGAAATTCGAAGAAGAAGATTAGAAGATGTTTTGTGCTTTATTTTTATATGTTTGTATCTTATTTTGTAATGGGCATAAGCCCTCTTGTCGTTTTTACTTTCTTATTTTATTTTGTATGTTTAGATTAAGACAGGTACAAAACGGGTGAAATACCCGAAAACAGGTGGGTCCAAACTCGGTCAAGGCGAACAGAACCCGAGCTTGGACCCAAATCTCTCTCTCCCTCTCTTTATTATTTGCTTTTTGTGCGTCTTGTTTAGATTTGCCATTAGTTTTAGGTTAGAAAACTCCAACCCCGTCGAAACGCCTCTCTACTTTTATCAAGATTAAAACTAAAATTTAAGTGTTAAAAAGAATAGATGTTAAGTTTTAAAAATTGCTTAGAGTAAAAGTTTAAAAAGTTCAACTTTAGCGAAATCTTGAAGCTAATATTTCAAGTCCATTTTAGAGAGTTTTAATTTTAAGGAAAATTTGCAAGATAAATATTTTAAAAGTTGCAAAGTTTGTTTAAGTAGATTCTGATAAAGTTTCAATTTCGAAATTGTAAAGGTTAAAACAAAATAGTCAAATAAGTTAATCGCCGGAAAACCGTAAGTTAGCGGAGTATCTTAGGTGCCTTAAACACCTTCCTAAGATACTAATAGGAATCCCGAACCCTTAAAATGTTTCAAAACAATTTTTCTGTTTAAGTTGTTTAGAAACGAAGTTTTCTTGATTTTTCTTAAAAATTAAGTGGCGACTCCTAAAAGTCAAAATAAAACAAGTCTTTTTCGAAATCACTTTTTTTCGATAAAACAGAAATGGCGATTCCGCTGGGGATTTGGAGGATTCTAACCTTAAGACTAACTCTATTTGACTAACTTGTTTAATTGTTTAATTTTCTTTAGTTTTAGAAGTTGCATTTTCATGACATAAATTCCGCCAAACGGCAAATAGTTGCATTAGGAAACGGAAGTTACGCGGCTTACCGCGACTTTCTTCAGAAAAACCCAAGAAGTCATTTGGGAGTATCGAATAAATAGTCAGAATGCGCTCATCCGACAATATTCGATAACTCCACCCCGATGTTTGTCCGACTCGGGTAACCGTCTATTTGAAAACAATTCTAGAAAAGCCTAAGTTAGAGCGAAACCAAAACCCAAATTAGGCATCAGCCTAGGGCGACTTAATACCCAAGGCGTATTAAGTCCATTTTAGTAGAAAACCACCAAAATCGCGTCTAAGGTCTTCGACCTCACGACGCATCATGTTATTTGACATTCGAAAGTGTATGTGTGAAAAACCAACTTGGGGATAGGGGAAAGTCTAACGGGTTTCTGTTTTGCAGATATGGACCGCTTCCCGAAATTCAACATGGTCATCTCCGCGCCACCCCAACTAACAATGTGGCACAACGACTTAGACGGAGATCATAGGCGGACTCTCAACAAGTATGTAGGGGCCTTGACCGAGCTAATCAACATGGACGGTTGGCCAGAGTTGATAGAGGTACTCACGGGGTATTGGGACAGCCAAAGAATGGTCTTCCGTTTTGGAACGGCCGAAATCACCCCTACATTAGAAGAAATAAGAGATTGCATAGACACTGTGGGCACGGGTCTAAAAAGAAGAGCCCGAAAGCAAGAAGACGTGTTTATCCCCAACAAACCTTCCGTTGAGGACATCTCGGATTGGTTAGGGCTAAGAAAGGATTTCACTTATTGGTGTCAAGATTCCCACATAATGTTCAGAGATCTCTACGTCAGATTTGGACACGCGAGTTTCTATGCCGCGTATAATCGGGAATTCAAGATTTCCTACAGGGAGTGGAACGAGCTCCGTCCGTTGGCATTTGCCATAGCTTTGTTGGGAACGATGGTCTTCCCGCACGGCCCGAGCCTGAGCATCAACACCAGAGTCATAACACTTGTCCAGACGCTGTTCAAAGGGTACGAGAATCAAGGGACGACAAAATACTACTCCGTAGCCCCGGTCATATTGTCAGACATATATCGCGCTTTGGGTAAGTGCAAAGAGGGACATCGGTACTTCCAGGGTTGTAATCTGCTCCTCCAATGGTGGATTCTCAGCCACTTGGTGAGGGGTGCCGGAACTAGAGAACTGCACACTCTCGACAACAAGAACACCCTCAAGGACTTGAACGACTTGTTATTCTGGGCAAACATGAACAATTGGAAAACAAGAGGGAGGTGGACCAAAATTTTCTCCGAGTTGAGAGAAGAGGACCTCCAATGGATGCTCGACCGCTTCATATCCAAATAAGTTGTCGTAGAAAGTCGTAGATGTGTCGTGCTCCCTCTACCCGGTATTCGAGGAATCCGCCCTTACGCGCCGTTTCGAGTCTTGCGACAGTTCGGAAGAAAGCAGACTATGCCTAGAGAAGCGTATTATGGTGCTTATGTATATGACATCGGGGACGACAGGGTGGACGACGCTACAGAGATGCTCAGAGAATGGAAGAACGCCAGGCGTATGGGTAAAGACACTATCGCTCCTGACCGATTCGACGCTGGATACGACGAAGGTTACAAGGCATGGTTGAAAAGAGATATACAAAATATCTCCTTTCAAATCCCTCGTAGCTTTCGCACTGTGACAGACAAGGAGGCTAAAGCAATGACCAAATTGCGAGAGTTAAAGGAGGAAGCTAATGAGGTCTATGCCAAATTTGTAGAGAATCAAGACGCACTCGAGAGGGCAACTCGAGAGATCGAGAGACTGAAGCAAGGATATGAAGAGTTCGACAACTGGATCCAGCAGAAAATTGAGAGGATGCGATACGAGAGCCTGGAAGACAAAGGGCGTCTGGGCGAAGGCTTTCTGTTGATGCTGAGGTACATGTTCCAACAGCACAAAAACCAGAAAGACGACAACGGAGCGGGATCGTCCGGAGCAGCATAGTGGATATCGCCCCTGCGCGGGTTTTTCCTTGTTGTATTCGCATTACTTTCGCCCCTGCGTGGGCCTGATATTATCGCACTTTCTAAATAGCCCCTGCGTGGGTTTGTTTATTTCCCTTTTAAAACATTTCACTCATTGTTAAATATTATTTTTGGGGGGAATCATTTAATTGGTTTAAACTCACACGTACATCATTCGAATGCGCTAGGCCTACCCTTGGCACAAAAGGGTCCCCATGCATGATTAGGACACGTTATCTATGTGTATTTAAATGCTTATGTGTTACGTTGCTTTGAATGAGGATATTGTAAGCCCACTCCAAATCCAAAACTCTAAAGAGTATACAGAAACCACTATTAAAAATGTCCGACCAAAATTCCAAGTCTCGAGTTTCTCACCTAAAAAATCCATCTTCCATACCACAAATCCTGAATACCGCTCTATTATCTCAGGAAAGTCGAATCACCGTTATGGACAAAGGCAAGAATGTCCAGACAGGGCTCACTGAGAAGGAAATGCGAAGAAAAATCGAGCGAGTTACTCGAGAAACTCAAAAGATTAAAGAGGAAGGGCTCAAGGTAGAAATGACCACGACAATCTACAAAGCTGCGGTCACGACTTTGGATGAAGATCCGGCGTCGGAGATGAGAAGAAAGAAGGAGGTTGAGATGGAAACCGAAAGCCTAAGGAAAAGGTTGAACCTGCTTCGTTTGGAGATACACGAAGGAAAGGCGAGAGATGCGAAGATAGATATTGAGACTGCCGTGTTGTCGGCCAGAAGTGCGGCACTCGACGAAGAATTGGCGACCCATAGCAACTTAAAGGGCGGAAAACACCTCGCCCGTGAACAGGGAGCAAGTAACAGTGGCCCCGTCCGTGAAGTGATTGAGGAGGATGATGAAGAAGAAATCCTCTACAAGCCTCCATTTCCGACTGTCTGAAAGGAAGGAATGACGCAGCCACAAGACAAGAAATCGCCAAATGTTGTCTTCTAGAAATTTCAATGTTGTTTTTCAATTCCCTTGTAATCACAATGAAAGAATGAATGAAAATTTTCATCCTAAAATCCGAACTACGTTGGGCCTGAATTCTCCTCGTGAGATACGTAGGCACCCTTCCCGGCCCGGCCCCTATCACCAAAAATTTTCATTCTCCTCCGTGTTTCGGAGATACGAAGATAAGATCAACGGACGATGAAAAGCAGCTGCAAGAAAACCATAGCTCAACATGATTCAGCTTCCCCGAGATGACGTTAAAACGAACAAATTCCTGTTTGTTCAAAATATATTTCCGTCCTCATTCGCGGGTTAAGATATCCTCAAACAAAGCGACTTGTGTGTTTATCTGTTTTATGTGTGATATTATGCATTTTGTACTCCGGATATGCACTAACAAATTTGCCTTTGAGTTGTTTTTACCTCTCAGGTACCTCTTACTGATCTGTGTTGATAAAGCTGGCAGATCACCACTACTTCACCAGATCAAAACGTCGCGAAGATTCCTTCCCCGGATCAAACGCAAATACAGACATGGGCGACAACAATGAACAAATCAGCCTCACAGATGTCGTTGTGGCTCAGCCAACTATGGCAGAGCAGAATGAGCTTATTGCGCAGTTGATGCAGCAAATAGCTGACATGAGGGTAGAGATGCAACGGAGGCAAGACACCCCTCCGCCCGGATTCGGCCCCAACTTTCTCGACGCAAGACCCCCTACACACTTCCCCTCGTCCAGCTCGGATCCTACTCAGCAACGTCCATCGACACCCGTGCACAACCCGTCTAGGGTAGACATGACAACCCAAAACCCCCAACACGCCACAGTCTCCTATCAAACTCCCTCCCCACTTCCAAAAAATCCTCCGCAAATGCCACCACACCCCCAAAATACTCAAACAGCCTCACTACCCCAAAATCAAACCCAAAATCCCATCGCCCTCAATTCCCAAACATCGCATCCCCATTTAAACCAAAACACCAATCCCCAAAATTATCCGCAAAACTATCAAACCGCACAGAATGTCCCAAGCCCTTCCCTAGCTCCACCCCTTCCCAAAAGAACCACTTTTCAAGTCCCTGTCCTGACCGAGCATGAGGTGCACGGCTCCGAGCTGGACCATTATGAGGAGCAATAAAGAGAGTGGAGGGCAAGGGAAGAAGCGAAGGTAGACATAAAGGAGGAGATCAGGAGAGCAATGAGAGAATTGCAATGTACTCCAGACGTCGCCGGGTTAAGCTACACAGAACTATGCATCCACCCAGACTTGAACCTACCTGAAGGGTTCAAGATCCCGAAGTTTGATACCTTCGGAGGGGTGGGCAACCCCATGGCACAGCGTACTGCGACCAACTCGTGGGAGTTGGCAAAGATGAAGCGTTGCTGATGAGGTTGTTCAGCCGGAGCCTGTGCGTGAGGCCCTGGAATGGTTCACGTCACATGAGACTCGACAGTGGCCCAGTTGGAGTGCACTGGCTAAAGATTTCATGGAAAGGTTTGCGTACAACGTCGAGATAGTCCCCGATAGGTACTCCTTGGAAAAGATGAAACAGAAATCTACCGAGAGCTATCGAGAATTTGCATACAGATGGAGGAAGGAGGCAGCGAGAGTGAGGCCACCAATGACAGAAAAAGAGATTGTAGAGGTGTTCGTGCGGGTGCAGGAGCCCGAGTATTATGACAGGATCATCTTGCTAATTGGCGCCAAGTTCGCCGAAATAGTCAAAGTGGGTGAGACTATTGAAGATGGCCTGAAGTCAGGGAAGATAGCCCGAGTGTCTGCATCGCCTGGATCTTCCGGACTGGTAAGGAAGAAAAGAGAAGAGGTTAACGCTATCTCGCACGGGGGAAGGAAGGCCCCCAGAAACTTACCACGTCCCCAAGGCCGCTCCAACCCTCCATCAAAGCCTCATCAATCCTACCGTCCACAATCAATTCATCCCGGCCACTACAATGCTGCCCCCACTTATCCAGATGCCCATATCTTATCGTATCAGAATCCGCCCCAAATTCCCCAAAATTTTCCCTCCATATATACAAACTACCCCCAAGCTTATCAAGTCCCTCCCCATTACCAGAGTGTCGCTCCCAGCTGCGCTAATGTACAGCCGAGCTATCAAGCACCATCCGCCGCATATCAAATACAAACCCCAGCATATCAAAACCCCCATCCGAATTACCGAGCCCCAATGCCAAACTACTAAACAAATCCCCATTCCAGAGCCCAAGCTGCACGACCAAATGCCCGCAGTTATCAACAAGTCCCTCCCTCACAGCAGGGCGGGTATGATCCCCCTCGCCCCAGGTCTAAGAAGAAGCCCTCCAAAAGCTTCACCGTGTTGGCTGAAAGCAGAACTAAATTGTTCGAAAGATTGTCCGCGGCCGGATACATCCACCCTGTGGGCCCCAAGCCCATGGATGTCAATTCCAGATTCTACAGACTGGAGCAGAGCTGTGCTTACCATTCCAACAGTGTTGGACATGATACAGAAGATTGTATCAATCTCAAGCACAAGATCCAGGACTTGATTGACCAGGAAGTGGTCTCTCTTCAGCCCGCGGCGCCAAACGTCAACACGAATCCGTTGCCAAATCATGGGGGTGGAAACATCAACATGATAGAAACTGACGAAGATGAGCGTGAAGCCAAGAGAATTACTCCTGTTGTTCAGGAAGACTTGGAGAGTGCTTTCGCTTCTTTGAGCGTCAGGGAGAAAGGAGAGTTTGTCATTCTGACACCTGCAAAGGCTGTTGCCTTGGTGCCCGCAGAGACTCTCGCCAAGCCCAAGTTCGTTATAGAAACGTCCGTGGCTCAGGGCATGGCTAGATCTAGAAGATGTTACACTCCTGATGAGCTTGCTCTTGGAGGACAAAAGAAAGATCATGCCAAGAGACCAATCAGCGAAGCAGAAGCTGAGGAGTTCTGGAGGAGAATGCAACCCAAAGACTACTCCATCGTCAAGCACTTGGAGAAAACTCCAGCCCAAATTTTGGTGTGGGCCCTGCTGATGAGCTCCTAGTCCCACAGACAGGCTTTGATAAAAGCCCTAGATGACACATATGTGCCCTCGGGTTCGAGCAGCGTCAATGTGGCTGCTATGATTCACCGGGTCATTCGGGGACACCGTATCAGTTTCTGCGACGATGAACTGCCGGTCGAAGGGAGGGCCCACAACAAAGCTCTACACATCACCGTGATATGTCGCGGAAAGGTCATCAACCGTGTTCTAGTAGACGACGGATCTGGTTTGAACATATGCCCCTTGTCCATATTGAAGCAGCTGAGGTTTGACCTCGGAAAGTTGGAGCAAAATTAGGTCAATGTGAGAGCATTCGACGGTGTGCAGAGAGACACGTTGGGAGCTGTGAACCTGACCATCCAAATGGGCCCCACAGAGTTCGAGGCAAAGTTCCAGGTGTTGGACATTGACACCAGCTATAACCTTCTGTTGGGAAGGCCATTCATCCATGCGGCTAGGGCCGTCCCCTCCACTCTCCACCAAATGATAAAACTGGTGTGGAAAAATGAAGAACTGGTGATTCATGGTGAAAAGGGTCAATCGGGAAGGCAAGTGCCGGTCTCAGACGAGACACCGCAAGGTTCGGACTTCTACACGGTGGAGTTGGTAAATGCCACCGATGAGGGCTTGGCCCCGTAGACTCCCATGCCGGCCGTGTACAAAATGATCGCTACGGTAATGCTGCAGAGCGGATTCGAACCAGGTTTTGGATTAGGAAGGAATGCGCAAGGGATCATCGAGCCAGTTCCGGTCCTTGCGAAAGGATCAAGGTATTGTTTGGGGTACATCCCCACAGATGATGATATGAAGATGAAGAGGAAAAGGGATCAAGGGTTTACTAAGCCGATCCCGTATCTCTATCAATCCTTTCCAGTCCGGGAGCGTGCCAAGCCTGAAGACGATGGGGAAGGGATCTGTGACCTTTTCCAGGAGATCAATGCCATCATCGAGGAGGAGGCTGAGCCAGCTGGCATTCGTGACGCTGAACCAGGGGAGATACTGCTGAATTGGACGTCCACGCCAATCTTGATGTCCCGAACTCTGTGGTAGAAATGAGTTATTTTGTGCATATTAAAATCGGTGGTAGTCCGGAAGAGGCCCGAGACCCACCATTTTTGCATTTTCTTGATTTTGAATTTTGTTATGATGTTTAAAAGGCAACATGG